TAATTATTTTTATATGTATATTTAAAATCTTTTACATTGAAGACTTTACTAATTAAAGAGAAGGTATAATAAATAGTAAGAATAGATAATATTCACAGATTGCCTGTACTATGCCAGACTGTTCTGACAATGTAGTATTCATGCCAACTTCAACTTGTAGGCATATCCCCATACTGCAGAGACAGCATTAAAATGTGAAATATATTACATTGTTGCTTTATAATTCTCTGGAAAACAATTTGATAATATTAATCAATAGGCATAGCTTGAGAACCTACAAATTCTGCTTCAAGATATCTATTTTTTAAAAATCCGTGGGTGACGAGATCTTTGACTAAGGGCCAAAACACATTAAATGGGAAAGAGACATCTCTTCAACAAAAGGTGCTGGCAAAACTGGAAATCAGTTTGCAAATGAATGAAACAAGACCCATATCTCACACCATATACAAAAACAAAGCCAACACAAATTAAAGACCTAAAAGTAAAACCTACAATTATAAAGATCATCAATGAAAAAATAGGGACAAACTTCTTGTCGCTGTGTGCCATCAAGTCGGTTCTGACTTACAGTGACCCTATATAGGGTTTAAGAGGAGTGGCTGGTGAGTTTGAACCACTGATCTGGCAATTCAAACTGACCTTGAGGTAGAGTGCTTATCCTACGGCACCACACCAGGACTCCAGGGACAAACTTAGAGTGGGCTGTAGTACACAGCATACATATACTACCAAGTATTGCAAAGAACACATGAACAGTAGAAGACAAAATAAGATGACTGGGACTTCCTAACAATTAGAAATTTATATGCATCAAAAGATTTCAAAAGAGTAAAAAGGGAGCTCACAGACCAGGAAAAAAGTTTTTTGCAAAGATGTATCAGACAAGGAACTAATATTTAAAATTTATAGAAAACTACAACACGTCTCTATAAGAAAAAGACAACCTAATTTTTTTAATTAGGACAGAAAGCCACTTCACCAAGGAAGACATTCAGGCAGCCAATAAACATATGAAGAAATGTTCTGATCATTAACCATTACTGTTGTTAAGTGCCACTGAGTTGGTTCCAACTCACAGAGCCCTGTATAGAGTTTCTGAGGAGTGGCTGATGAGTTTGAACCGCCAACCTTTCAATTCATATTGATCTTATGGTCTAGTGAATTATCCTGTAGCACCACACCAGGACTCATTAACCACTGTTGTTAGGTGCCATGGAGTTGATTCCAACTCATAGGGACCCTGTATAGGGTTTCCGTGGAACAGCTAGTGAGCTTGAACCACAAACCCTGTGATTCAAACCAACATTGCAGTCCAGGGCATTCAAACCACAGTGCCACACCAGGACTCCCATGAATCACTGAATTAAGTGCCATTGTGTTGGTTCCAACCCATAGGGACCCTGTATAGTTTCTGAAGAGTGACTGGTGAGACTGAGACACCGACCTTGCAGTTCAAAATGACTTTGCGATTCAGCATATTAACCCACAGAGCCACACCAGAACTCCACTGTTGTTGTTATATGCCGTAGAGTCGATTCCGACTCATAGCAACCCTGTACACAGTTTCCGAGCCTGCAAATCTTTACGGAAGCAAACAGCCTCATCTTTCTCCTGAGGAACAGCTGGTAGTTTCGAACTGCTGACCATTAGATTAGCAGCCCAATTCGTAACCACTACGCTACCAGAACTCCATTGTTGTTGTTCAGTGCCATCATGTTGGTACCAACTCATAGCGAACCTATGTACAACAAAATGAAACACTGCCCGATCCTGAGCCAACCTCACTATCGCTGCCACACTTGAGCCCACTGATGCTGCCAGTTTGACAATTCATCTCGCTGGGGGTCTTCCTCTTTTTCTCTGACCCTCCACCCTACCAAACATTATATCCTCTCCATCGACTGGTCCCTCCTGACAATATGAGATGCAAATCAAAACAATGAGATACCACCCCACACCAGCATTAACAGTGAAGCTCAAAAAAAAAAAAAAAAACAAATGCTGGCAAGGGTATAGAGCCTGAGACATTGCTGGTGAGACTATAAAAATGGTTTAACCATTCTGGAAAACATGGCAATTCCTCAGAAAGTTGGAAATAGAAATACTTTATGGCACAGCAATCCTTCTACTGGTATATATCCACAAGAAATACAAGGCAGGGCACAAGTAGATATATGCATACCAATGTTCATCGTAGCACTATTCACAACAAGAAAAAGAGATAGCATAAGTGCTCATCAATGGAAGAATGGATAAGCAAACTTTGGTACAAACACATAATGGAATACTATGCAACCCTGAAGAATAGCAATGAGTCTACAAAACCCCTCTTAACACGGATGAACCTGGAGGAAATTATGTTGTGTGAAATTAGTGAATCACAAAAGGGCAAATATGGTATGAGACAATTATTGTAAAAGCTTAAGAAAAGGTTTCCATACTAAAAACAAAAAACATTCTTTAATGGTTACCACAGCTGGAGAGTAGACACATGTTAGCACAGAAAATGGAGAGGGCAATATTCAAGGCAAGGGGAGGACAATACACAAGAACAGGGAGAGTAGAGATGAACAATGACAACAGGGCAAGACTTAAGGTGGTATGCATTAGCTAAATAGGACCAATAGTGATTTATACACAACCTTGAACAACAGTGAGCAGAAACATGAATCAAGATATAGGCTAAATGGGATAAGGAGAGGGGGAAATGTTTATGTGTCTGACTGTCTTGTGGTTATTGGTTTCCTCTGCCTATTATCGCAAAATACATTTATACGTGATAGCAAGAAATACTGGGGATTATGATTACAGAAACCTTTTAGCCTATAACTGATTGGATCTGCTTAAAGAGGAGTTAGAATTTGCCCAAGGAAATAGGCTTCTTGTTAAGCCTTTGTGGAGTACACAGCCTTAGGTGGAATCCTGATCTCACCCAGAACCTTCTGAGTTAGAACATTCCCACTTGAGAAAACATGCAGACCAACCCAGAGCTGCTGGAAGGACAGAAGATTCTTATTGAAAGAAAGACCTGCAGAAAAAAAGCAGACTGTTGGGCTATTTGCTTTGGAGACATCAAGGCAAGAAACATCAGCCTATCAGGGACATTTCTAGGACTGAAACTTAAAGGGAACCTGTGAGTAGTCTAACACACTCACTGGTGACTACCTGAGTCTACTTGTGAGTGGAAGTGTAGGAAATGCAGCAATGAAGACCTGGGCTGAGTTTGGACATAGTCCACTGACACCCACTCATCTTGACATGAGGAAAATAGAAAGGGCTAGCTGGTCTGAAGTTTAGGAGAATGTATGAACTCCTGAGCCAATGAGAACTGATCTAGCCCCCCTAGGGTCTAGGGGTGAGTGGGGGGTGGGGGGGTGGGGAGGAGGATGTTCTTGCAGAAGTACCCATTTGACCTAGTTTGGAAGGCTAGCTGTCCAGAACTCAACCAGGTGAAGATAAAGATGCTTGGCTACTGTGAGCAAATGTAAATTGCTACAATTTGATGAACTGGACGTTTGCTTATGCATGTAGTTGCTCAATACTCCATGCAGAATTGAAGGATTCTTCATATCAAGGAACAATCTTGTTTCCTAAGGTTGATAGGGGCAGGAAATTTGGACATTGGCAGTCAAAAATTGGGGGAGAGGAGAGGACTAGTCCTGGTGTGGCACAGTGAGATAAAGCACTGGGTTACAAGATCAGTTTGAACCCCAAGGTTGGTAGTTCAAACTCACCAGTCACTCTTTGGAAACCCTATACATGGCCGTTATGAGTCAGAACCAATTCAATGGCACTTTACTTAATAACAACATAATAGCATGCAGTGACTGTCTTACAAGGTTTCCTAAGTGTGCTTAGTTCCAGAATGAGGTGGCAAGGTAGAATACCCACTGAATAATTTTTCCCTTTTCAAGATGGATCTGGTGAAGTGGGATGGAGGATAGTGGTGGTGGGATTTTATGATTCAATTTTGAGTAACTGTTAGCAGCATTAATTGTAATTGTCACAACTGTGATTGTAGAAGATCTGTAACTCACAAGGGGAGAGTAATTATCTTCCATTTCAAGAATGGATGATTCTGGGACTATCAAGAAGGAGAAGCATGAGCACAGCATGAGATCCCTACTTAGAAGAGCATCAACAGTGGAAAGAATGACAGAAGAGACAGCAGCTGCAGGCTCTAGGCCCAATGGGGTGAGTAGGGCTCTGTGCCTTCAGGAGGCTGGCTTGCAGATTGTGCCCTTTGGACATTTTAATGAATATATATTTTCTGTTTCATTTAAAAAAAATCCCTGGGTACAATGAGTGGCTAAGCACTTGACTACTAACCAAAGATTGATGCTTTTAGCATAGTCAGTAGCACCTGAGAAGGATATAAGCAAAAAACATGATTTTTATACAAAAAGAAATTACTTTGTAGGTTATTAAACACCTGAATATGCATAACAATGAAATATATAAACAACTATGAAACTTCCATAAGATGGACTATTATACAGCCAATAAAAATATTTGGAAAGAATTTTCAACATAAATAACAGCTTATATATCAATGTTGAAAAAAAAAAAAACTTGAAAAAAATTATTTATATAATAGTTTATAACTATGTTAAAAATAATTATTATATATATATATATATACACACACACACATACATGGAAAGACTAGAAGAAGGTACCCCAAAATGTTATACTAGTGGTTGTCTGAGGGTGGAAAACTTGTAAGGGAATTTTCCTTCTTATATATGAACTTGCCAAATTTATTGGTAGTATTACTTTTATGATTAGGAAAAACTATCAAAAAGAAAAAAAATGATGAATAACATTTATTTTCTCAGTCTCCATAATCATTCATGCCAAACTGCCTTCACAACTTCAAACTAACCCCATACTATGGACAATTTGGGATGCAGGTGTATAAATTAATAGAATGTCCAACATATAATAATGCTGAAAAACAACAGTGTACGCAGTTGCCAAAAACAGCTTTTACTTACGTGGTAACTGTGGAGTCTTACTATCATGTGAACGGTAGTCTTCATGAGGGACAGATTTGTCATCCTAATTGCAAAAAGTTTATTATAAAGTTAATATATAGCAAAAAAAGAACTGTAATGCAGATAACAGAGGGTTTAAGCAATATACAGTAACTCACCATTTTCACATGCATTGGTCTATCAAATAAAAATTGCCCATTGAACATAGCTGTCAGTACAGTCAAGGAAAGGTAGTTTAGATGGCTGTAAAATTACACATAAACATAAACTACATTTTAATCACTGTATTTAGAGTCAGGCTTTAATGTCTTAACATTTTTAATATATTACTTATTCCTAGAGTCTCTTCTAGATACTCAAAAAAATCTTCAATTCTTTACTTTGTAATTTTACAGATAAAATACAATCTTTTATTTCAACTACTGAAAAGAACATGAACATTGCTTTGCTTAAAGGAATTGCATTAATGTACAATGCACTACATAACTGTCAAAAGCATGTGAACATATAATTAGTTCGCATAGGCTCAAGGAAAATGAAAAAATTCTTACCAGGACTGTACAGTATAGCTAATTCAAGATTTAACAGTGATTTTAGTACTTGGGCATAGTGAAGGTTGTATATGCTGGAGACTTAAGTCTAAAATATACTTCTAAGGCAGGAAACCTTAAATTTCACACCCACACAAAATGGCAACAAGCTTCCTCAAACACATTACATCAAGCAGGATACAAATTGCTTGAACTGCTTCAATTGCTTGTTCAAAAGTGACTGTGCCCATGCCTCGGCTCTTGCCATCTTTGTCTTCTTTAATATCTGCCCGCTTTACAGTTCCTGCTATGCTGAATACTTCCTTTAGCTTCTTCCAACCAACTTTGAAGTCAAGCTTAAGACAAAATTTTATAAAGTTAGACATAACCAAGAAATCGGTCTACCCTGTTTATAAAAGAATCCTTTCTCAACTCTCAAAATTATAAAGAACTAAAAAACTCTTGTTACACAGTTTATCAATAATGCTTAAATAAAAAACATCTTAGGGTTGTTTAAAGTCGGTTAAACATCTATGTTGACCCTTTACCCTTAATCTTATTTTATTTCCAAATAGTCTCAACTGCTCAATTCTATATAATACATTTGAAACTTGCACATCTACATTTACTGAAAGAAGTTCACATTTTGATGAGTTGCAAAAGCTACGAACAAATGACAAAACAGCATGCACATTCACAAAAATATCAAACTAAAATAAATTCACTTACTAATATTAAAAATACATAAAACAAGGCTTATATTTATGGTTAAATAATTCTACAAATTCTACAGTTCTACTTTAATAAAAATCCTAGTTATTTATGCTCTAAACCTTATATAGAGACTTAAATTGGGTTTAAAGTTATAATCATTACTGTTTCACTTACTTTAGTTAAAAACAAATAGAATGTTCAATAAACCTACGGGCATTAATCTAATGAAATAAACTAATATTTAGGGCTAATTTTAACGGCAAAAATTTAAACTAAAGCTTAAACTCACATTAGCAACAAAAATTGTGGAACCAAGTCTACCAGCCTGCAAATTACTGATAACCTCAGGAGGAATGTTTGGATTATTGAGAATGGATGGTGGCAAATTCATCAACCCCGATCCCATATCGGAGACGTGTCCTCCTGAAAATGATCCTCCTGTTCGTTGCAATGCCCTACGAGCATTTTCTCCATCAGGATCCTGTAACACACATTGAATGTTAAATGCCACTAGATATCATGAGTAAATCTATATAATTAAAAGAACAATTTCAAATTCTACAGTAGCTATCCCATCTGGCTCAAATTATTGACTCTCTTGAAAAGTGAGCGTTTTTCCTCATCCACTGAGTACCAAATACCTATGGATAGATAAAAGATTTCAGTCTCCAGAGATGTCAGTTAAGTACCTCTTCCCAATTACTATGGAAACTGAAGAATTTATAAGCAGTACAGTTTAATTTTGCCCTACTAGTTTAATTTAAAGGAGCTCTGGTAATGTAGTGATTACAACTTGCACTGCTAACCTCAAAGTCAGCAGGTCGAAAAAAACACCTATTCTGAGAGAGAATGATGAGGCTATCTGCTCCCGTAAGATTTACAGCCTCAGAAATCCTACACAGGGTCGCTGTGAGTTGGAACCGACTCCACGGCACAGCTACTACCACCACCACCAAGACAGGTTTTTGAGTCCTGGTGTGGTGCTGTTTGTTAATGCACTGGATCGCAAAGTCGATTTGAGCCACAAGGTCTGTGGTTCAAGCTCACCAGCCCGCCTGAGAAATCCAATACAGGGTCACTATGGGTCAGAACCTACTCCACCGCACTTAAAACAACAGTTTATGTCACATAAACATACGCAATTCAAAGAATAAAGTACTTTTTACTGTTACTCTTTTTTTCCAAAATGCAATAATGGTGAATTTTCACCACTGGTCAGACTGATTCAAAGCTTTTCAACACTGTAACAGACTGCTATAAGACCCAGGGATATTGGGGCATAGAGGGAACTATTCTACCCATAAATCATAAATTTGAATCCTGAACAAAATACAGTTCTCTACCTTCTAACATCTGCTTTTCCTCAACAAAGATCAGGATCTGAGGTGGTAGGAAAAGAGAACAGAAATCAAAGTGTTCAGTTGAATACTACCACTAAACAGTATTTTTTGATGTTATTATTCAGTGCCATCAAATCGGTTCACACTCATAGTGACCCTATATAGGGTTTCTCAGAAATGGCTGGTGGGTTTGAACCACTAACCTTGGTTTAGCAGCCCAATACAGATCCTACAATGTCACACAAGGACCACATTATTTTTTTTAATTGTAAATTAATTTATATGTACATTAATTTTATAAACAATTGCACTTTAAGAAAAGGGGGTTGTACTTTAAAGTACCCATGGTGGACAGGTTTCAGATGAGCTTCCAAACAAAGACAAACTAGGAAGAAACAGTGACAAACTACTTCCAAATCACCAGTCACTGAAAACTCTATGAATAGCAGAGAAACACTGTCAGATGCAGGACTGGAAGGTGGGAAGGCACTCAGAATGCGACTGGGGAAAAAAATGCCTCCTCAAAGTAGAGTTGACCAAGATGACCATGATGACATGAATAGAGTTAAGCTAGGGGGAGAAATGCTCACAGAACCTTCATTTGCTAATGGGCCACAAATCAAACTGAAGAGAAACAGCTGTAAACATCCATTGGAAATTGGAACATGGAATGTACGAAGTATGAATCTGGGAAAATTGGAAGTTGTCAAAAATGAAATGGAACACATCAACATTGATACGTTAGGCATTAGTGAGCTGAAATGGACTGGTATTGGTCATTTTGAATCTGACAACCACATGGTTTACTATGCAGGGAATGACAAATTGAAGAGGAATGGTGTTGCGTTCATTGTCAAAAAGAACATATCCAGATCAGTCATGAGGTACAATGCTATAAGTGATAAGATAATGTCCATGAGCGTACAGGGAAGCCCAGTTAATACCATTATTATTCAAATTTATGCACCAACCACTAAAGCCAGTGAAGATGAAATAGAAGAATTCTACCAACTTCTTCAATCTGAAAT